CGCTTTTGACGACTCGAACCCGTGAAGCTTCCCCGTGCGCGGGTTACCCCGCACACGGGTCAGCCTGCCTGCCACGTATCCACGCAAGCGTGGTCCGCGCGCATGGCATACAGGCGGTTCGCCAGACAGCGCAGAGGCTAGCCTAGGCGACCGGGGAAGGACTAGCTCAAGGGCAACACAGCGTCACCAGCCGTTGGCGCGCAGAACGAGTCTGCGGCCCCCGGTTGGGACGAGTGCGCGACGCGGATGAACCGCTCAATATGGCCGGCAGCTCGCGCTGCCGGCGGGGTTGGTTGGGGAGAACCGGCACGGGGAAAGCCGGCCTCCCCGGAGGGGCTGCCCCCCGGAGAGGGCCCAACGGCCCCCCCGGGGGGGGTGGGGGCCCCCGCCCCAAGGCGCAAGGGGCGGGGGCGGGTCCTTCCGTGTCGCTCCCCTCGCCGGGAGCGTCCGTCGGGATGGTGTCGTCCGCCCACTCGGCCGTGTTCGAGCCTCTGTCACCCCGCCTGCCACGAGCAGCTAGCTCGTCTACATAGTCGTTCCATTTGTTGTCGCTATGCCCCTTCACATGCCTCCACGTCACGGCGTGTTTGGCGCGAAGGCGTTGCCAGAGGGAGCATGGCTCAAGGCGATGCTGGCACGTGACGGGTCGCGGCACCACAGGTGTCACCGCAGGTTCTCCGCCAGCTGTCTGTTCGTTTTGGGGGTCACCCGCCCCATCATGCATGCTGCCGCGTACTCGCTATCGGGCGCAATACTCCGCGCGAGCCCGCTCGCTGCGGTGACGACGAGGATAGGAGCTCCTGCCCGTGTTGTGTTTTGTTGTCTGCCCGTGTCCCCGGGGCGTGGAGTCTGCTGTGTCTCTGTGGAGATGCGAGGGTCGCCCCCCCCTTGCCCCACCACAATTGTGTTTGTGAATTGAGTCATGAGTCATGAGTGTGATGTGTGTAAGTGTATGTCGAGACGTTTACCTTAGAGGGTGTGGAGGCTGAGTTGACGGAAATCGAGGGACGCGACCCACCTCGCCACAGACAGTCCCGCGCCTCGCCGCTAAGACGGCGGCACGGCCGCAGCTCGTGTGCGTGTCGCCGTCTTTGTCCGGAGTGAAAAGTCCAACGCACTCGTCGGTGACGGTGGTCCCTCAACCTGCGCCGCGCTCGGTGAACCTCGACAGCGCCTTCGCGCTTCGGTGGCATGCAGCTCTTTGCGACAGAAGCCTGGAGGGCAGCTCCTCTGCTGCTCACACGCCCTGCACAGTTGGCATAGCCTACTGTGCGGCTGCCACAGAGCTGTCACACTCACAGCGATGGGCTCGCCCTCACTGGCCCTCAGTCACTTGTGCTGCGGCTTGTGTGAGCGACACTGCTCGGCGACTGCCGGCACACTGTGAGACCGTGTGAGGTAAAGCCACGCTACCAGCGCTTGGTCACATCGGCCCCGAGGTCAGATCCATCCAAGAGTCCATCTACTCTGAATCTCTGTTGATGGTAACACTTGTCTACTCGCTGGAGCCGAGCAGGGAGGGCCCGGCGCACAACCCCTGGTCAACTCACCCTCCACACCCCGTACCTTACCTCAGCCTCTGGGGTCGGGGCGACAAAAATGCGCTAGGGTTGCACGAACGCCTCTGGCTCTGCTGCTGCTCAGCCTCTGGGGTCGGGGCGACAAAAATGCTATGGAGGGAGGCTAGGGTTGCACGAACGCCTCTGCTGCTGCTCAGCCTCTAGGGTCGGGGCGACAAAAATGCTATGGAGGGAGGCTAGGGTTGCACGAACGCCTCTGCTGCTGCTCAGCCTCTGGGGTCGGGGCGACAAAAATGCTCTCGGCCCTGGCCAATTCGGTGTCGCGGGCGCTCAGCCCGTTGGGGCCGTCTCGCTTCCTCTGGGCGAGGACCGCGAGCCGCGCGAAGATAGCATCGAGTGCGGCGGCGGACTCGGGCGCGAGCGAGCCCTCGGCGCGCACGTACACGGGAGTCGTCAGCGGCTCGTCGGGTAGCAAGGGCGGCGGTATTCGCGTGCACAGCAGCTGGCCCAGCGGCACCTGCGGCTCCGGGGGGCGGGGTTTTTCTCTGCAAACTAGGGGCGAGGGCCAGGCTCAGCATCTTCGTGTCCGTGTCGCGGCCTCCTCGCCAGCTCATCACTCGCCAGGGCTCGAGGAGGCCGCGACACTGAATCCCCCCGCATCTCCACGTTCTGAGACAGGCCACTAGGAAGCATCGCGACTATGTCGGGGGGCGTTGCTGGGAGAGGCAGGGCAAGCCTCGTCTCCCCCGGGCGCCCGCCGCACGGTGAGCAGCGTGAGCGACTGCTCGTCTTCTCCCCGAAAAACGGCCCGCCTGGCCGTACCGGCGGCGCATGCAGTCAGAGGCGCGTGGCATGCTGGGCGAGCGGCGGGGTGGGCTCCGGAGCTCTCCGCACCTGAGGCGGTAAAGGCAGCTGGGCTCCCTCCCCTCGTCCACCCGCGCGATGCCGCTGTTGTCGATGCGGAAGAGGGCCGATCGTCCTTGCGGACGCGGGGCGGCGTCGGCGGCATTGGCAGTGGTGGAGGCAGAGGCGTTGGAGGCGGCGGCGGTGGAGGCGGCGGTGGTGAAGGCGGCAGCTTCGGCGGCGTCGACTCCATGCCCCATACCGCTGGGGCGGTTGATGGGACGTGTCGATCTGCGCCACTGCGACAGAATCGACTGCGAGCTCTGGATCTCGCCACAGCCGCTTGCGTTATGCGGACTGTCGCTCAAAGGTAGGGCGAAAGGAAGGGCACGAGCCATTGATCCGGTAATGCCCGAGACCTCCTCGTCTTCTTCCTCGTGCCGCATGCGGCAGACTCTGGACAGTCGCTCGCGATCAAAAGGGCAAAATGGAGGCAGGTAAGAAGAGGGCTTGAGAGGGGGCACGAGACCTACTGGTAGGCTTGGCGACAAATGACTACAGGGAACGTTGTTGGCACTTCCCGATCTCGAGATCGAGATCAGTTCGATGTGGGTGAAGCTCCCGTCCCCTCGCCCCTTCGCTGCTGCTGCCAGTCTGCCCCGCCCACCCGTTTGTGTTCGTTTTTGAAATAAAGATATTCATAAGGTAAATCACACCTGAAGCGGCGCCCCCGTGGATGCGCATTCGCGGCTGTCCCGCAGAGGGCGCGGCGCCTGTCGCCGCTGCCGCCGCTCCGCTCTTGAAGAAGTGCGGCGCCACCTCCGCGAGCCAAGCGGCCTCGTCGTGGTGAGGTCGCGCATGTAGTCTAGAGCCGCGTGGTGAAGACGAGCTCGTTGTAGAGCACGCAAGGCGCGCGGCGCGAGAAGAGGGCCGACGAGGGGTGGATTGAGGCCGTCTGCCTCGAGACGAGGGTCACATAGTCCCCGCTCGGGCGACGCGCCGCCGCCTGCAGGAAGAAGGCAACTCGACCGACTCCTCGGAGCTGAGCGGTTGCGCGGCGCTCGCCGAGGATAGGAGAGCCCGGAGGAGCTCGGTGATGTACCACGACATGGTGCCACGCGTGTACTTGAGCGGCGGCGGGACGAACGCCGCTTGCCGGCGGGCCACCTCGTCGTCGGAGATGTCGACGCTGATCGTGCGTCTCGGCGTCGATCGTGATGACGTCCCGCCGTCGTTCACCATGCCGATTGGCCCGCCCACCTGCGCCTCGGGCGCCACGTGGCCGACGCAGAAGCCGTGCGAGCCGCCCGAGAAGCGGCCGTCCGTGATGAGCGCCACGTCCTGCCCCAAAGCCCGCGCCCATGACGAGGGCCGTCGGGTTGAGCATCTCCTTCATGCCGGGCCGCCCTTGGGCCCTCTCGTAGCGGATGACGATCACGCAGCCCTTGAGCGACTGCGCATCGGCCGCGACGGCCTCCATCATGTCTTCCTCTACGAGACGCCGTTCATCTCCGACCTCAAGCCGAGCGGCAAGTACGTCATGGAGGACTTGCACCACGTGGGCGGCACGCCAGGCGTCCTCAAGTACATGTTCGAGCAGGGATTCCACCTCCACGGCGACTGCATGACGGTCACGGGCAAGACAATGGCCGAGAACCTCGCTGACTTGCCCGCAACGGCCTCGTCGAAGGCCAGACGGTCATCGGGACCTTCCAGAAGCCCATCAAGCCAACGGGCCACATCGCTCAGCGGCAACCTCGCGCCGCCGGGATTCGCCGTCGGGAAGATCACGAGCAAGGAGGGTACCATCTTCCGCGGCCCCGCGCGATGCTTCGACCAGTGGGAGATCCGCCGGAAGTCCTCGAGCGAGAGGTTGACGCCGCACGAGCGCGCCATCGCGATCAGGTGGATCGTCGCGTTCGTCGAGCCGCCCGTCACCATGACGAGCCGCACGGAGTTCTCCAAGGCCTTGGCGGTCATGATGTCGCGCGGCATGAGGTTGGCCTCGATGCAAAATTTGAGCGCGTCCACCGCATGCCCGTCGCCCGACCTCGTCCGCCTTCTCCGGATGCAGCCCGCCCTCTCGCCGTTGACGCGGGGATGGACGACGAGTAAGGCCTGCTCATGCCGAGCGCCTCGATCGCCGAAGCCATCGTGTTGGCCGTGTACATGCCGCCGCACGCGCCCGGACCGGGGCACGACGAGGTCGACGACTCGACGAGGCCGACCGAGAGAGAGAGAGGGAGTCGAGTCTAGCGTTCCTCAAGATGACGCACTACTCAACTCAACCCCTACGCCCGCATCGATGTGGGAGGCAAGGCCACCCGTCGATGCTACCTGCTACCAAGCGGTGGGGCAGGAGATTGGAGGGGCCCCTTGTAGTCGATTGTAGACCTGCAGGCAGCCTTTCGAGTTCGCGCGGATTTCGTGAACTCCGAACTCGAACGAACGCAGCCGGCGGGGCCCAGCCCGAATCTCGAAAGTGAACGGACCGCCACGGCTGTGGAAGGCGCGAACTGCGAAGACGGACGAACGTGTTCGTGAACTCCGTTCGAACTTAGGAAAAAGAAAATCATCGCAAAGTTCGTTCGTTCGGCGTGCAGTTCAGCCACGAGCCGCGCTGAACGAACGAACTCGCGCAACTGCGCCACGTGCCGCGTGCGGACGCGGTCTGGCCCTCAATCTCAGGTGCCCATATACACGTACACAGGCGGCACTAGCACAATTCTGACGGTCCGCGACAGTCTGCAATCTAGCGGACTGCGGGCGCGACTACCCCGGTGCGCCGCCGCCCGCCGCGGACCATTGAAAAGGGGGAGGGGGGGGGGGGGGGGCGCTCAGCCTCGACGCCTCCTTGCTCACGCCATCGCGTACTTGGCGTGGTTTTTGCGCATGTTCCATGTACTCCATGAAGGCGCTGTGAGCAGGGCCGCCCTGTGGTGCCTGGGCGCCGTGCGTGCTGACTGGCGAGTAGAATGGGGGAGACGGGGGCTCCCCGAGGCGTCCAGGCGTACTAGGCCTCTAGTAGGCAACCAGGGACTATACTGGGACTATACAGGCCTGCAGAGCCAAAAAATAAATATTGCGGTTCGTTCGCGGTTCGTTCGCAGTTCAGACGAACTTCCCTGGTAGTCCTCGGCCTGCGGGTGTGAAGCGGGTCGGGGGGGGGAGGAGAAAAGAAAAGGCTCGCG